ATACAGTATTTATATAGAGCCAACAGTTTGCTCAGCGCTGTACATTACAATGGGAAACAGTACACAAGACAGTACAGTAACAATACAATACGATACACGAGGGGTTCGAGGGCCCTGCTCCTTGGAGCTTACAAGCTAAGAGGGAGGGGATAGTGGTACAGGAGGAAATAGCCTTTGGAGGGTACGGCTGTTGATCATCGGGTCCCGACCGGAGATTCCCCTCCGGCACCCCAGTGATCACCAAGGAACAGTGACAAAGGAGAGGTCTGTATGTAAACAATACAGATATCTCCCCTGTCAGCTCCAGCACATTGCTTAGTACTGCTCTGCATATATATATATATTATTATACATTATTTATATAGCGCCAACAGTTTGCTCAGTGCTGTACATTACAATGGGAGACAGTACACGAGGCAGTACAGTAACAATACAATTCGATACACGAGGGGTTCAAGGGCCCTGCTCCTTGGAGCTTACAATCTAGGAGGGAGGGGATAGTGGTACAGGAGGAAATAGCTGTGGGGGGATGGAGTGGTAGGAAGAGTGAGTGGGGAGATCGGCAATTAGCTGAGGGCGGGGTAGGCTTTCCTGAAGAGATAGGTTTTCAGGGTGCGCCTAAAGGAGAGGAGAGTAGGTGACAGTCTGATGGATTGGGGTAGGGAGTTCCAGAGGATGGGGGGAAGTCCTGCAGAAGTCTTTACTCACTGAGGAAATGTGCAAGCTTGGTGCGCTTTTGTTTTTGTTCTTTGTTACAGCTGCTGTTGGGCTTCCCCAGTCTTGAGTTAGAGCTGCACAACCTTTGGTCTGCCACTGGATGGACTTTCATATATGGTTCAACCCGCTGATTTCTGATCTGGTTCTCTGAGCACAGGAGGTTTCGTTTCTGTTTCCACTAGACAAAGAATTGTTATTGGCACCCCAAACACGTCTCACAAACGCAAGCCACCAAACCACATGGTACCACAGTTCCAAGCAATTTGGTGCAGTGAGAGTTGTAAAAGTAGTGCCTGCCTTTTGCATGTTAAGGGGCGACTGGCAGCCCATTAAAATCAATAGGCTGTCAAAACTGGACTGCGCAGGAACATGCGTGTTCGAAAATGAACATTCCAGTGTGATCCAGCTCTTAAACTGAACATTTTTATCACGTGAACTTTTAAACACTTTGAAAATGAATTTACATTTTCTGGAATCACATTTTATGTTGATACTAATAGTCAACATTCCTAATTCATCTTTCCAATTCATGACAAAACAAACTGGCCAGCCCCATGCATTTTAAACTATATTACAGTTTGGGCACCAATTCTTTTTATGTAAAAGAACAAAAGAAATGTTACCTTTGTGTATTAAATCCAACCCATAACCTGTCAGTGAAAGTGAAAAATCAATTAAGTAAATTAGATACATTAATTACAGGAGATACAACAACACTGGTAATGAGTATTGCTCACTACTGGGCAACATCTGTTGTTAGGCAATCAACCAATTAGTATGTCCATTGTACTAATAAAGTTCAAGGGCGCATCCTACTGGCTGTGACTGAATAATATTTTTGGAGGAATGGATCCAGGTATCCGTCCTTGAAGCCGTCGCGGTAATTCCAATCTTGTGAGCTATTACTTCTAATTGTATTCATCAGTATATGTGTAAAAATAATGAACTTACCGTACAGCAGAAAGAGTGCTATTATTAAATATGACATTATTTTCTGCATGAGAATGCTTGTATTTTCTAACCAAATCAAAAACAAGGACAATTTAATAAAAAAAAAGGGGGGGGGGGGGCAGACTCAATGGTCCTTTTTTTTCCCTCACTCTGATTGGCTACTATGTACACCTGCACTAGATTGTGTGTGGACTAGGGGAGAGGAGGGGTGGATACACATTATGACCCCCTTCTTCCAATTACAAAATGCCTTCTGTAAAGAGAAATGTTTTGTAAATGGACCAGGTGCAGGGCATGTTACCCACTATCCTTCACTGTATGAGAGTCAGAAATGTACATTTCAGCGCCAAAAATTAGGTGCTTTTTAGATACAGATACAGAATTATATATAGAACCAGAACAGGCAATGGAGTTGATTTCTAAAAAGTTAGTTACCAAAAAAAAGTTCCAATAAATACAACACTTTCTATGATACCAACATCATTGCGCCAATGTAATAAAGAGAGGGAATACACTCCCTGGATGCTGCTATTATTAAAAAAACTCAAAATAATAATAAAAATATGAAAAATATACAAATCACAAATAATAGTGCAAACCAAATAAATATAACCACAACCAAATAAGTGCATATTATTAGTGCAAACAAAAAATCAATAAATAGGGAATCTCAATACAGTCCATTCAGGAAAGTCCATATAAACATGATCCTCAGTAAATGAAGTAATGAGATCCTCCTTCATAAGCAATGTGGTATTCAGTGCTCAAAAACACCCCATCAAAATGCACACTCACCATGTGCTAGTAATTAACCAGCATGTCAGTATATATCCAGCATTCACCAAACAGACTTCAAAGGACGATCCTCATGTGTTGGTAATTACTCAGCATACCACTATGTATCCAGCATATCACCAAACAAACTCCAGAGAAGATCCTCTCATATCCAGATTAGCACAAAAAGAAAATACTCGCCATAGTGCAGTATCATCCAACAAATTTATTGCCAAACAAACCCCCCTTAAAATCACACTCACAATGGGCAAATAAAAACAAGGCGTTTTGTTATATCAGAGCTCCAGTCTCTGCATCCTGTGTCTCACCAGCCAGCCCGCATTCAAGATGGTAAAAGTGCGATCACGTGATCCGGACACGTGCATCAGCATGAGTGGTGACGTCACAGGAAGGTCACACTCTGACGTGTTTCGTCCAATGACTTCTTCCGAGGGAAGAAGTCTGTTTGGTGAATGCTGGATATATACTAACATGCTGGTTAATTACTAGCACATGGTGAGTGTGCATTTTGATGGGGTGTTTTTGAGCACTGAATACCACATTGCTTATGAAGGAGGATCTCATTACTTCATTTAATGAGGATCATGTTTATATGGACTTTCCTGAATGGACTGTATTGAGATTCCCTATTTATTGATTTTTTGTTTGCACTAATATGCACTTATTTGGTGGTGGTTATATTTATTTGGTTTGCGCTATTATTTGTGATTTGTATATTTGTCACATTTTTATTATTAATGGAGTTGATTTACTAAAACGAGAGTGCAAAATCTGGTACAGCTTTGCATAGAAACCAATCAACTTCCATTTTCCAGTTTAATTTTTTCAACCCTATTGTAACCAGCCGCTACCAATGAGAACGATATATGCAGATCCCTCAACACAAGTATACAAGTCTGTTTGCTGCGCCAGTTATACTCATGCAATTACAACTTAACCAGATTAAAGTGCAAAAAAATGCAAAATAAATAAATTATTTTTATTATTACCAAACCCACAACAGTAAAATCAGTCTGTATATGCAGTAAAGCATGCTTGATATATTCACTGTGGAACCTAAGGGGCTACTCCTCCGTATTGTGTAAACATGCTGTTTGATCCTGTCTTCTCTGATTCTCCCCTTCTTCCAGTGCCCCCTCTTATCTCCTGATAAGACATATTGTGTGGAGACACTCTGCACAAGCTCAGTTTGGTGTGTATTGCTAGAGAGGGTTTTTTTTTTTTCTTGGGAGAGTGCATGTGATCAGCACAGGTCCAGACAGAGGGTCAGGGGTTCTATGTCCTCCTAGAGCAGAAAGAAAACTTCTCCTACAAGCTGTAACCAGTGCTCTGCTGAACACTGACTGCTTTAATTGCTGACAAGAGAAGGTATTTAGCAGTTTATATTTACTAAAATAATTGCATTTCCATGTTGTGTGTACTGTGGGAGACCAGATATAGTGAATGCAGGGTCTGGGGAGAGCGGATATAGTGAATGCAGGGTCCGGGGAGACCAGATATAGGGAATGCAGGGTCCGGGGAGAGCAGATATAGTGAATGCAGGGTCCGGGGAGACCAGATATAGTGAATGCCGGGTCTGGGAGAGCGGAATAGTGAATGCAGGGTCCAGGGAGACCAGATATAGGGAATGCAGGGTCCGGGGAGAGCGGATATAGTGAATGCAGGGTCCAGGGAGACCAGATATAGGGAATGCAGGGTCCGGGGAGAGCGGATATAGTGAATGCAGGGTCTTGGTCAGCCTCCCCTCTGAAGATGTGCCTTAGCACGAAAGGCCTCAGGAGGAACTGACAGCTTGTGACGCCTCATTGCCGCCCAGACCACGAGGAGGTCTGGTGGCCATTTTACTTTAGGTCAGTAATATTATTTTTTTACCTTGTGCTTTCTGGCTTTTGCCAGTTTCATCACTGACCTGTTCTGTACTAAATCTGTTACTAATAAAAGTTTGACATACTACACTATGGGTACTTTCCCATTTTTTGCTACACACTACACCCAGAGGAGGGAGCCCTCACCTGGTCGCTTTATCCTGATCCTAAGGAGGTCTTGTGAGTCCAGCAGATCATCGCCTGATGACACCCCTTCCTGAGGGAGAACGATACCTGTGGATTTTAATACACACATGCGCATTTCCTATGCGCGGTCGGTGAGTGCGCATTTCTGTCATTCCTACTGGATCCATCACAGCTGTGTCTACCATCTGATTGTCATTATATCGATTGAAATATCTCATGAACTTTTGATAATGAATTTTTTAAGAACGAACTTTCTGACATGTTTTAGCGCTGCACTTTATATATTTAGACCAGATATAGTGAATTCAGGGTCTGGGGAGACCAGATATAGTGAATGCAGGGTCCTGGGAGACCGGATATAGTGAATGCGGGGTCCGGGAGACCGATATAGTGAATGCAGGGTCCGGGGAGACCAGATATAGTGAATGCAGGGTCTGGGGAGACCAGATATAGTGAATGCAGGGTCCGGGGATACCAGATATAGTGAATGCAGGGTCTGGGAGAGCGGATATAGTGAATGCAGGGTCTGGGGAGAGCGGATATAGTTAATGCAGGGTCCGGGGGAGACCGAATATAGTGAATGCAGGGTCCGGGGAGACCAGATATAGTGAATGCAGAGTCCGGGGAGACCAGATATAGTGAATGCAGGTCTGGGGAGACCAGATATAGTGAATGCAGGGTCCGGGGAGAGCGGATATAGTGAATGCAGGGTCCGGGGAGAGCGGATATAGTGAATGCAGGGTCTGGGGAGAGCGGATATAGTGAATGCAGGGTCTGGGGAGAGCGGATATAGTGAATGCAGGGTCTGGGGAGACCAGATATAGTGAATGCAGGGTCCGGGGAGAGCAAATATAGTGAATGCAGGGTCCGGGGAGACCAGATATAGTGAATGCAGGGTCCGGGGAGACCAGATATAGTGAATGCAGGGTCCGGGAAGACCAGATATAGTGAATGCAGGGTCTGGGGAGACCAGATATAGTGCATGCAAGGTCCGGGGACACCAGATATAGTGAATGCAGGGTCCTGGGGAAACCAGATATAGTGAATGCGGGGTCCGGGGAGACCAGATATAGTGAATGCAGGGTCCGGGGAGAGCAGATATAGTGAATGCAGGGTCTGGGGAGAACAGATATAGTGAATGCAGGGTCTGGGGAGACCAGATATAGGGAATGCAGGGTCCGTGGGGAGACCAGATATAGGGAATGCAGGGTCCTGGGAGACCGGATATAGTGAATGCGGGGTTCGGGGAGAGCGGATATAGTGAATGCAGAGTCCTGGGAAACCGGATATAGTGAATGCAGGGTCCTGGGAGACCAGATATAGTGAATGCAGGGTCCGGGGAGACCAGATATAGTGAATGCAGGGTCCGGGGAGAGCAGATATAGTAAATGCAGGGTCCGGGGAGACCGGATATAGTGAATGCAGGGTCCTGGGAGACCGGATATAGTGAATGCAGGGTCCGGGGAGACCGGATATAGTGAATGCAGGGTCCGGAGAGACCAGATATAGTGAATGCAGGGTCCGGGGAGACCGGATATAGTGAATGCAGGCTCCGGGGAGACCGGATATAGTGAATGCAGGGTCCTGGGTTTAGTAACACTTTAATAAACAGTATACTTCAATAATTAGTAATCTTGAACAAACCCAAATTCATCCATAAAGGTAAAGAGTGTTTCCAGTGATTGAATTATAATATCCATATAGTAAATGCAGAAATAAATATATACTTCCCACATTAAACAAACAAATCCATGCTTTGTTTTCTACTGTCTTCTCTATATTACAAAAAAAAATTTAAATTAAACAAAAGAACAAATTCATAATAGGAATTATATAATGTAAAAAATAAATTAAAAAAATGCCCACAATGAATAATGTCCATTTAATTTCCAAAACAAGCTAAATAAAATAAACACAGACTTGTACATAAAGCAGCAACACCCCCACATACAGTATGGGACACAAGTCATTAAAGGGGATTTATTTTTTCAAAGGAAATATCTAAAAATAGTTTTCTTTCTTGGAGTTCAGCTTGAAGATATAAAAAGATTTTTTAAAAAGTAGAAAAAATACCTAGAAAGTATTTACATTTTAAAGGAAAACGCCACTTTTGCTATAAGACTGCATAATGCTTAAGTGCGCGTTTACGGGGGTACTGTGGCCCCTAAAGCATAAATGAACGCCTTGTATATACAGCTGGAACTGCCTGGAGCTGTGTGCCGGCAGCCCTTGCTTTTCAATGGGGATGCAGAAGCTGCATGGACACACACTCTCCCTCTAATGTGAAAGGCGTACAAGGGTGGGCATGCAGCCTCAAACGCATCTCCAGGCAGCTCCAGCCACACAATCAATATTTCAGGGTATGCAAGCCATAGTGCCCATTAGAATGAAATCAAAAGGATACTTTCAATAAAAAGTGCACTTTTCTGTTTTAGGTGTTTTTATGTCTGTTTTAAAACCACTTCCCAATTGGCATAGTCAAAAGACATCCTCAGTTGGAAGTGGAATACTGGGGTAACCCCTGCAGCAATGTTCCACACCCCCGGTATTTGTTTTTCTGTTTCTGTTAAAAGTGATCCCAGCAGCGGATTTGCTGCTGGATCACTTTTAGAAGTGGTTTGAGTGGTCCATCCCCCCCTCAGCTTCCCAGTGGTTTTCGGGCTTACCTGGATGATCGATGAGGCCCAGAACTAATCTGACAATCGCAGCGGCTGGACATTGAGATGAGTAAAAGAAAAATGGCCTCCACTCATCTCTATGGCCTTCTGCTTCCAGCCTAATGTAAACAAGGCCATTTTTTTAACTACTTGCCCTCCAGAGAATTTACCCCCCCCCCCCCTTGCCTGATCAGGCCATTTTTTTGCGATATGATGCTGCGTTAGTTTTAACTGTCAATTACGCAGTTATGCAACACTGTATATAAATAAAATTTATGTCATTTTTTTTTCCCACAAATAGAGCTTTCTTTCGGTGGTATTTTTGCTATAAAACACATCCAATAAAAAAAGTCTAAAAATCTAATTTTTAAAATCAAAATGTATTCTGCTACATGTCTTTGCTACAAAAAAATCCCAATAAGTGTAAATTAATTGTTTTTTTGTGAAAGTTATAGAGTTTGTAAATGGTGGTATATATACTGGATTTTTTTTTTTTTAATGGCGGCGATTGGTGACTTATAGCAGGACTGCAGCGGGCACACTGGGTGGGAACTGACTAACTGCCACTGACATCCCCAATGACACTAATACAGGGATCAGTGCTAATAAAAAGCACTGACACAATATTTAGTTGTATTTTAGCAAACAGACTGGCCCCTATTATTTCCTCTTTGGTCTCCCCTGACCAATCAGGTTTTATTCCAGCAAGACTTATCACAGATAATATACGTCTCACACTAAATGTTATTCAAGACGCTAACTTACATTCTAAATACTCAGACCAGCCCGTCTGGCACTAACAACCATGCCACATTCAAAGTCACTTAAATCCCCTTTCTTCCCCATTCTGATGCTCGGTTTGGTGAAGTCAACTTCACCACATCTAGATGCATAAATGCATTGAACTGTTGCCATATGATTGGCTGATTAGCAATTTGTGTTACCAAAGCAATTGAACAGGTGTACCTAAAAAGTGGCCAATGAGTGAATGTGCTTTGTTAGTAGGAAGTATTTGCTAGCTTTTTACATGATTTTGTACTGTTCCCTGCTCTTGCCTGTCTCTATTGATTATTGTGCCATCTTTATCAGTTCCACCCCCAATTCTTCCTGGCGTTCCTCTAGCCAGCACAGTAGCTAAATGGTTAACATTCCCACCTGGCAGTACTAGGGTCCTTGGTTCAAATCCCAACCACAGCACCACCTACCTGGAGTTTGTATGTTCTCCCTGTTCCTACGTGGGTTTCCTCCGGGTACTCCAGTTTCCTCCCACCCTCCAAAGACATGGTAGGTTAATTGGATCCTGTCTAAATTGGCCCCTAGTATGTGTATGTATGAATGTGAGTTAGGGACCTTAGATTGTACACCCCTTGAGGGTTAGGGACTGATGTGAATGTACAATATATATATAAAGTGCTCTGTAAATTGATGGCGCTATATAAGTACCTGAAATAAATAAATAGATTTTCATAGTATATGAGAATGCCAAAGCACCTATCATCATGAGCAAAGTGGTTAGAAGTGCAAAATTATTGTAAATCTATCTGAAGTATTTTTACAGTATATATATATATATATATATATATATATATATATATATTTTGCTATGTGTGCACTTCCCACATATTTATTTGTTACAAATTTATATTAGGACACAGCCTGCCACCCAGTGGGCCTGCTTAAATAAACTCAGAGAAATGGAGGACTGTGACTGGAAAACATTCAGTATATATATTTGTATATTCATTCCAGATCTATATCATGCACACAGTATGCCGAAACCTGGATGAACTGAGGCAAACTATATGCCTCCATTTAAATATCAAGCAATAACACTGTTGCCTCAAGCAAACTTATACTCACACTGAAAATGAAGGAGTGAAATATTCAAAACCAGTAATATATCAGTTTACAATCTTTATAGTAGAGTCACAAACAATGTAATGTACAGTATATATTGTGCATGAAAATAGGTAGTTTAGGTCATTTCCTCCAAATTTGTCGGCCAGCGTGGGCAGGCCAAATTTTCAATATTTAACCCAGTTGTTGGCCAAGAGGCTTTTTTTCAGCGAGAACGTGGCGGGTTACCAGGGGTGGACTGACAACTCATGGGGCCACCGGGCAATAGGGGATCATGGGGCCCCTGTGTCCTTGCCCAAACTCAAAAAAGCCTGTGAAAAGGGTACTAGGGGCATCTCATGGGGCCCCCTACAAACCCCGGGCCCTCGGGCAGTGCCCGAGTTTCCATATGGTCAGTCCGCCCCTGGGGGTGACACAGTTCTGGCATCTCAAGCAGTGAATGTATGTAATGGCAAGAGGTAGTGGGGTGAGCAGGAGGTTCTATTACTATAGTTGACTCTCTTGTTGCTGTGGAGATCTATTGTTGCTGGTGGGGTTTCTATTGTTGCTGAGGGGTCCTGTTTTGCTGGGGGGAGATCAATTGTTGCTATTGTTGAGGGAGGGGTCTATTGTAGCTGGGGATCTATTGTTGTGGAGGAGGGTTCTATTGTAGCTGGGGATCTATTGTTGTGGAGGAGGGGTCTATTGTAGCTGGGGATCTATTGTTGTGGAGGAGGGGTCTATTGTAGCTGGGGATCTATTGTTTGGGAGGAGGGATCTATTGTAGCTGGGGATCTATTGTTGTGGAGGAGGGGTCTATTGTTGCTGACTGCAGGGGATCTATTTTACGGCTCTTTTTGTTATCATTACCAAATGCCATAAAAATTACTTAGCACCACAAAATGATACTTGGTTCTGTATTCTATAAAAGTGGAGGTACTGGGTGGTGGGTAGGGGGTGGAATCAAGGGATGGTGGCCAGAGGTGGGTATGAGGGTGGAATCAAGGGACGGTGGTCAGAGGTGGGTATGGGGGTGGAATCAAGAGACGGCGGTCAGAGGTGGGTATGGGGGTGGAATCAAGGGACGGTGGTCAGAGGTGGGTGTGGGGGTGGAATCAAGGCCCGGTGGTCAGAGGTGGGTGGAATCAAGGGACGGTGGTCAGAGGTGGGTATGGGGGTGGAATCAAGGGACGGTGGTCAGAGGTGGGTATGGGGGTGGAGACAAGGGGTGACTCAGAAGGGGGATCACCTACACCTATTCTATTAGAAAAAAAAGTCCTGTTGTGCTTCACACCTGTTTGCTGTTAAAATCCTTCTTTCCAGAGCAGTCAGAAATGCTGTGTTCTCCACCTTGGAATTTGTTTTCACCAGTGCAAGAGCTTTTCAAACATACCAAAACTCCACACAAATACCTGACGACAGACCTCCCTCGGTGGACACCACCAACGTCCTCAATATTGTTGGACATTTGCTTCCCCATTATCCCCCTGGACAGTATGGATTTTGCAACCACCATGGTGGAAGTACCTTTACTTTCTTGGAATGTCAGGGGAATTAACAACCCCTTGAAGAGAACTATGATTGCCACCTCTCTTAGTAAAGATCAACCAGCAATCTGTGGTCTCCAGGAGGCTGACTTGAGAGAGGACTCCCTTGGCTGCCTGCGGTACTCTTGGGCAGGGTGGGAGTATCACTCCACCCACACTACCCATTCTTTCGGCGGGGTGTACTGATACATCGCTCACCGGACTTCCAAAAATATAGGTTGTCACCTCTATAACAGGGAACACTTTCAATTAAAAAAAAAATCCATTAAAGTGGTAGTAAAGCCTAGCTCTAACTATTCTTAAAAATGTTCCCTTCCCCCTCTTCCTACCTAGCATGCATACCCCATATAAAAATAAGATCTGTGTTCTTACCTTTTTTTAATCAGGTCCTGTGATCTTGCCACTCTGCGTAGGGGAGGGTTCAACAACGGTTGTATATTCTGGGAGCAGTGACATCACCCATAGGCTCTCTTGGTCCACCCCAAGTCGGCGCTTCCACCTCTCCCCT